GGGCTAGTTCCTAGCTGATTCGTGCCTCAGTTTTCTTATCCATCTAGTCTTAAAGAGAGTATGCATGGCACCTGGGAAGGACAATGACTCACTACATGCTACATGCTTCAATCAGTAGAATGGTACACTAATGTCACCAGGTATCAGAGTGAGCTCCCTCCTGGCCCTGCTGCCTTGGCTGAATCACTGCCCCTCTCTGGACCTCTCTTTCTTCATCTCTAAAATAAGAAGGCGGTCCAGCTTTTGAAACTGGATTTTCTGTAGAGGTGTGAAAATGTAACATTTTTGTTAAAATTTATTTTTGGCAGTTTAAAACATTACTTTCTATAAACTGTACCCACAAACAAATACACATTCAAATGCATATTAAGTCACTAGCTGACATGCTAGGCTGCTGACTGGGTAAGTCAGGCAGTCAGGTTGACTCCTCTGGGGACCAGATAATAAAGCTTCTCTGCAGATTCCTTCTTACTTGGTGACTCTCCTAAGATCACAGGATAGGCTTTAAAAAAAAAAAAAATACCATTTCAGCTGCTTATCTCTACACATCAAGATTTTCCAAATGTTCTGCAAACTGATTTCAAATTTTTTGTCATCAAAACAGCCTCCTTGTTCTAATCCACTGTTTGCAAAGTAAGTAGAGCATTTGTTCTCATTTGAATGTGTAAAATAAGTGTGTACACACAGCATGTTGCTGTCACGGTTTTACATAGTGGACTCCCACATAATATTTTTCAATGGGCTTCTCTGCTTAAAAGCTACTTGAAAACATAGAGCATTTGTTCTCATTTGAATGTGTAAAATAAGTGTGTACACACAGCATGTTGCTGTCATGGTTTTACATAGTGGACTCCCACATAATATTTTTCAATGGGCTTCTCTGCTTAAAAGCTATTTGAAAACCAAAGCTACTTGAAAACACACTGTCCCAGATACCTCCTCGGGTCCCCTGGGCTCAGCCTGTGCATGCTGCTGCCACCTGCCCCTTCTCACTTGCAGTTCCCGTCTACATGTCTTAGCTAACGTCTAGAAGGACATCATGTCTGATGATATCCAGAGGTCTTGTATGGGTTTGTTAGGGTGTCGTCTGCTTCACTGATGGGTGAGTGGGAGATGGCTATTCAGCCATCAAGACAAAGTAGGAAATGCCACCTCCATACCCTCTGGTCCTTAGCACGTAGCAGGTTTTGAGTGGAGTTGATGTGCCTGATGCCGATGGCATTAATAAACTTGAGGAGGGTTTAGCACAGCTGGAATGTTGGAGATCCGTGACAGTGACAGCTGGTTGGGAAGGGAGAGGTCAGCCGCCCCAGCTTCTCTGAGTTCAATTCAGATCAAGTCAGCACAGCTCACCTGCCTTTAAAAGGGCTTTACAGAACCCCGCTCTGGTGCAGGGAGATGCGGTTGTGGAATGGTGGTTCCAGCTTTCAAGAGCCATAGCCCCAAAGGAACACAGACAATTCGCCACCAAGCACAACTACAGCAACCACAAGCATCCTTCACTGAGGCCTGCTCTGTGCCGAGACCATCCCAATCACTGGAGATGCAGAGATGAACCTGCAGACAAGCCCCCTTCTCTCATGGAACTTACCTGGGTGGGGTTCCGGGGCAAACAACAAATGCACAAACAAAACAAGACGGGAGGCAGCTGTTTCCAGCCCACAGATCAATGCTACTCAATGGAATCGGCAGAGCATTTGATTCATGAAGCATTTAGTAAGAAGCTACTCTGTGCCAGGCCCCAGAAGGGGGTCAGATTACAAAGGTCCTCTGTGTTTAGTTAAGGAGGTTAGACTTCATCTTTGATTCTGTTAACATAGGAGTGGGAGAGGGTGTCATTAATAGTGCTGGGAGTTGGTGGAAGGCTTCCTGGAGGAGGGGATGTTTGAGCTGGGCCTTGAAGAATGCTGAGAAGACAGCGTTGGCTGAGTTGGTCCCATAACTCAGAGGTCTGGGGCTTCTATGGGTGTGTCACTACCTGCAAATAGGGAAAATAATTCCTTTCCTGCCCAGACACAGGACCATAATGAGAGAATGACCATGAAAGGGCTCTCTAGAGTGAGGCAAGATTATTATTACTGCTGTCTTTCCACCCGTCTATCTGGCCTATCAGGAAAAAACGCATGAGCCTTCCCCTGCATGGGCCAGAGGCAGCCCCCAGAGGTTTGGGGTGTGGCCTGACCAGTGCAGGGCCACGATCAGGTTCTCAAGCCACTGTTCCCCAAGCCACAGCTGCATCCTCTCTCCTCTACTGATCTCTCAAAGCTGCAGCTCCCATGTTCCTGAGTTGGAAGTTGAGAGTCACATTCTGATATTGGCACAGAAGAGCTGATCCAAGCACTTGTGCAGAAAACCTGGTCTGTGAGCCCCTGACAGCCGACGGCACTTAGGCAGTGTCCGGCATTCAGTGGGTGCTCAAGCAAGCGATGCGTTGTGGTGGGTCCAACCCAGGCTTTGCACACATGGGCCTGGCTTCAAGTGCAGTTCTGCCAGCTATCAGCTGTGATCCTCTGCAAAGTATTCAGCCTCACTTCCTCATTTGCAAACGGCAGCATTACCACCACCCTCAGAGCTGTCCTGAGGGCCAGGTGAGCTCTCTCCTGTGAAATCATTGAAGACGGCTCTTGGCATACAGTAGGTGCCCAGGGAGTACCAGCTTTCTTCATTTCCGTTTTTCTTCCTCTTTTCCCTCTTTTCTTCCTTCTTTCCTTCTCACCTCAAAACGTGTTTGGGGGAAGAACAGCCCACGTTGAGAGCTACAGAAAGACTTTTTAAGACACTGGCTCGACTCCCACAGAGCCCACAGACCTGCCAGGGAGGCTCATTACTGGCTGAGAAACAAGGAGATGACATTGCAGGCAGGTGGTGCCAGAATGGGCTGAATGCCTGCAGGTGCAATGGAACCCGAGCAGAGAGGCTCGGGAATGTCTTGATGCTCTCGGATATGTTCCAGAGAGAGGGACCAGCGTGGTACAGACACAGATTGCAGATGGCCCATGTGGCCTCGGCCCAGGAAGGTGTGAAGCCAGTCTCCCAAGAGAGCCTGGTAGAGCGGGTGGGGAGTGGGAGGGTGCTGGTTACTGCGGGATTCAGACGCCAGGCTGTGCACACTGGCCTCTGTGCAGGAGGCAGCAGGGAGCTGTGAAGGGAGATGGGCAGGAGCCTAATCTGGTGACCAAGGGGCACCAAGGTGGTTTCCCCAGAAGTGTGCACTAGATGGTTTAGAGCAGAAAGGCTTTCCTGCCTGTACAGTCAGGGTGGACTGGAATGTGCCGCAGAAACATGTAACCCCCAGATCTCTGGGATTTAAAACAACCATGGTTTAGCAAGGGCTGGTGCAGATAAAGAAACTCTCCAGGGCATGTGGTGACCACTCATCCAGGATGCTCCAGTCCCACGGCCCCTCAGTCTCAGTCCATCCTTCCCCGACACCCGCAGCAGGGAAAGGGGCATGGAGAATGTTGCACTGGATCTTCAATGCATAAATTGAGTTACAGCTTGTCAGCACCAGGCCACCTCCTCCACACCCTTCCTTTTGCCCGTAGGGACCTTCAGACCAGAGCGGGAGGTGGCTTGGAGTTAGGCCTTGTGCTGACAGCAGCTGTGTATTGGCCAGTGGGAGGGGGTGAAACCACTACTCGTGGGCGAAAAGTCCGTGGCATTTCAGGCGTGGTACAGAGGTGTGGGTTGGTATACAAACTACCAGCCATCAGGCTGACCAGGGGGACATGAAGAGAAGGTGGCAGAAGAAAAGGGGAAAGGGAAGGAAAGGGAAGGAGAGGAGGAGGGGAGGAGGAGGCAGAGCCCAGGAAGAAGGGCGAGGAGGCATGAAAGGGGCTTGCCGAGCCAGCCGGCTGGCACCGAGGCCTTGCCCATTAGCATTTCCCAGGCAGCCCCCTCGCCTTCGGCCTCACCTTCCCTTGGCCGGTTGGTGGGCAGGGCCAGCACCGGCTCTGGGCTCCCTTGCTCACTCAGAGCGGCCCTGCTTGCAGCCCTGCCGGCGTTGGCACGGTGACAGTAGCCAAGTGTGCAAACTTGTGCCATTGTCCCCAGGCCAGGGGGAGCCATGGAGACTGGCTAATATGACACAGGAAAATGTTTGCTGATGGCAATTCTATGGGCTTTGTCCACCTCTTTCTCCATCATGACGACTCGATTTAAGTCCCTAACTGTTTGACTACAAATGCAAGGGGACCGTGCAACGCCAACCTTTTGTCCAGCCGTGCTGAATGGGCAATTCAGGCTTTGTGCAGCTCAATTGAGGAAGCAAACATAAAGACAAGATTCCTGAGGGCTCCGCTCCCTTCCCATGGATATCCCAGCACCTCGTTAGACAGCCCTTCCTTGGCTACCTTTCCCGACATTGGTGTACCTCTCGACCTTGCAGGCCCTCCAGAGCCCTATCCCTGGGCATCCGTGGGGTGGGTGGTGGAGACAGAGTCAGAGAGACAGAGAGAGAGAGAAGAGAGAGAGCACCACTCAACACTCAAGGACAGCGGGGAAAGCAGCCCGCCCCGGCTTACCCTGTCCGATTGTCTGTCTGCACTGGAGCATGGCAGCTGTAGGCCTGGAGTCTTTGGGGGAGGTTTGCAAGCCCGTCTCTGCTGGGCCCAGCCCCTTCTCAATCTTGGACATTTTAAACACACGTAATAACTTCGTATAGCACACACACACACACACACACACACACACACACACACACACACACACACACACACCACCCCCTCGAGAAACCAAGGAACCGAGGTCAAGGGGAGGAGGGGCGTGGAGGCCGAGGAGAGTGGAGCTGAAGGGTAGAAATTTACCGGGAAATGATTGCATTTGGGAGCTGTCTTTTTTGTGATGGTCCCCATGGTGACAATTTGTGATGGCAAAGAATGTGGGAACGGGGCGCCGCCGCCTGATTGGGATGCTTTGTATCTGGAGAGGCGCTCCTGATTGGCCCGAGGGGCCCCCCAGCTCCGGGGAGTTCTCCATTCAGCCCACTCAAGGGCTGCACAACCGCCTCCAGCAGGACGGAGCTCGGCCGGCCGCGCCGGGGCCCGTCCCAGGTCTGCGGCGGGGAACCTGCCGGGCCACGTTGGCAGGCCCCGGGCCCGCACTTTCGGTCAGTGTGGAGGCCCGTTGGCTCTGGGTGGGGGGCATGGGGCAGGCCGAGGCTGGGGGAGGGGCGAGGTGCTGTGGGTGGCAGCCGAGGAGGCATGAAATTGCTGCAGATGCTTCTACGGGGGAGTCCCTGCTGCCTGCAGCCTGAGATCAGCCCACAAGGCAGGTCTCGATTAAGTGCCAGACAGGGGTCCCGCCTGGTCCTGCATGAGACTGGGGGTGGAGTGTGGGGACTGAGGGCGGGTGGCTGGGGGGG